ACGACCAGTTCCAGCTGCTTACCAACGGTATTCCCTACTGAGCGGGCTAAATCTAGCTATTCTATGGGTCTCTTTTTTTCCTTCGTTTTTGTCACTTTACATTCTTAATTCCCTTTAGGGAATCCCGTTTAGAAGATACGTTGATAATACTTAATAAAAGAGAAAAGGGAGAGAGGGTATAGAAGAGAGGAAAGGTAGATTACGGCAAGGTTTGGCGAGTCAATATCCAAATACCAATATACTAGATAGTAGTTTTCAATTCACACTAAGCGCGCGAAAATAATAGCAATTGTTTTCTATCTTTGTCATCCTAGAACCCAAAATAGTCTTCTACATCTAAAAACAACCATCAGCGCAGCTAAGCAAGTAATCTTTACGCCTGTGACATGAAAATGCCAAAGTAAGCAATTATCGCGAAAAAAAAATATCTCCCGTCATACGGGGGCTCTATTTTTTTCATCTCGTTTTTTTTTTTCTCTCTTCTTTTAGCGGGGCCCGTTTAAGCGCGAATGTCATGTCATGAAGCAGGCTGCTTGAGCATGTGCGTTGGCGCATTATAGCTCAAGTAATCTACGTGAACAAACGCCCTGTCTACAATGGGCACCGACTCGAGGAAATAGGTCAGCACCTCACTCAAGTCATGGCTATCCTTAAGCGGTGTGTTGGCTGAGAGCACAATATCCACCTCCACGAAGAGCTTGTCACCCGCGTGATACGCGCGCAGGTTCTGAATCTGGCGGATGGCGGTGGCAAAGCGCATGGTGAGATAGAGAAGCAGGTTTCGCTCATCAGGTTGGGCAGAGAAGCCGGTCAGGTTGCGGATGTGTTGAGCTGAGGTGCGGCTCCAGATGATGATGACAACGAAGGAGAGCAGAAGACCACCGGAAGCGTCGAGCCACCAGATTCGGCCATAGAAACCAACTAGATAGGTGGGTAAAATCAGCCTCAAACCCAGAAAGCATCAACTAAAAAAAGAAAGTGATTTTGACGTACCCAGGGGAAACAAGATGGAGCCAATATTGAATATGACGTCCGTAATTGCATCATCAGCTCTGTGCAGAATAAGGAGTCAGTCTACGTAACAGCACTGCCCGACAACCGACACATGGCACGACTTACAGGGCTCGGACACTTGAATTTTTGACGAGGCGGCACCACAGCCAACAGCCACCCTTGATTACAATAGTCGTTATCATGATAATGATGGCTGGCAGGCCCAATTGGAGGACTTGGTGGTCTGGTCCAGCAAGTCGCTGGATACATTCCAGGCTGACTTGGCAGAAGGAGGTTACAATGATGACGGAGAAAACCAGCACTCCGAGAGGTTCAAGCCTAATGGTATTAGTAGGAGTACAAACTCATACAGAGCGCAGCACATAGAAACAAACTTACCGTGATCGTCCAACAGGATAGTTATGTTGATCCCGTTGGCTTGACGATATCAGCCGGGTTGTGGTCCAGACGATGGCAGTACTCAGCAAATCGAGAACTGCGTCAACTAGAGCCGCGAGAACGGACATGGATGGGACTGAGATGATGACGGCAATTTTACCTGCCAGGAGAATCACGTTCGCGATAAGGTTAATCCAAATAGCCAATGCCACAATAGGATCGTCATGGTCCAGATCAGCGTCTTCCAGCCATGGAAGATTTGGTTGCGGGCCAGCTTCCTTGGGCAAAACATTTGGTTGGGGAGACTGCAGTTGCGAATGCGACTCAGTCGCCTCGTCATCCTCGTGCTGCAGTAGCGGCAAGTTCTCCGAAGAGCGAAAGATGTCTTTAGGGGTTCGCCTCTGTGGGAGTGCTGCTGTTTTGAGTGTAGATGATGAGCTACTATTGTGTCCGCTGGCAAAGTTGTTAATCGAGCCGTATGACCCGGCAATCTGGTTCAGGTGTGACTGAGTTTGATATGAGGCTTGGGGGGTTTCTTCAGCAATAGTATCAGGAATATCAACAGGCTTAAAAGCTGAAGCCTCTAATTCGTTTGCATATTCATTCAACAACTCGTGGGGGATGGAGGAGTCGAGAAGACAGTCAATGTACATGTACTGCTGGATTAGGGAATTCGTTCTCTGGTAGAATTCACGTCTTGAAGGTGATTGAATAGTCAGCCCCTCGACTCTGCACGTTGGCCAATGGCACCGGAACAGTCCTTACATGGGCTTCTTCATGTCATTGAGCTGCTCCTTTGTCTTCCAATACTGTTCCCAGCGATATCGCGGGTTACTTCTCCCAATGAGCTTCAAGCTCCGCGCCTGCGGGCCAAGAAGAATCTGTGACAATCGATTCTCATCTCGCAAGAGTCTCTCGATATCTTCATCTTCGTTGCGCATCCACGAATTGCGCATGGACCCTGTCTCCTCATCGTCTACGAGATGGCGCGGCGTCGGAGCTGCTGGCCGTGGACTTGTTAGGCTTTGTTGAGATCGGGTCCGGATCAGTGATGTCAGGGTGTTTGTCCGCGTATGCAAGGAAGAATGGTAGTAACTATCGTCATGGCTAAGCCAAGGCCGGTTTGGCGAAGTCATTTTTTAAGACTTTTGTGCAAAAATCCGCGCCGTTCCGATACGTTGAAAGTCAATTGGATGCATAAGGTGAAGAAACAGCGGATCAGGGGAAGAATCTGAGACGTAGAAAGTCCAGCCGCGGATGACGTAGGCGCGAAAATCCTGCGCGATCTCGGCTCAATCGCCTTGTGCCATGTGGTAGCGCGAAGGCAAGGCCTGCGAGGCGTCAGCTAGCTGAAGACTGCTGTGCCTTACTCGTATGCAAGAGGCCGCACAGATGGCAGTTTAGATTGTCCATTACGAGGTACTAGCAAGCTGCTAGGCCGCAACTTGAGGCCGCCAAGTACGCCTTCCCGTGCTTTGAAAAAGCTAACTCGGCATCATTGGTCCAAGCGCAGAACAAGGTTGACAGGCATGAATCGAAGACGAGCACAAGGATGCATATTCACGAGTAACTGGCAAACTCTGGTTTGATGCCAATGGTCTAGAACTGTCCAGAGACCACCATATGAGGCCGGGCGGCTCGTCGGAGAATAAATACGGGCAACAAAGTGTTGCAGCTGGTCCGGAGATGCACGACCTCGGAAGTCGGCCTAGCGCAGTGCTATTGTATGTAGCTTTCAGTCCATGCTTAGTCGTCGTGATATCAAGTGCCCGCTTCCACCGATCCGCTGAGTAGACTCTGGCCCCGATCCGGCTGGTGGGAAGCTTGGTGGCGGCATGTAGCTCTGGATGCGAGAGACCAAGTCCAACCATATTTCAGGGGGGTGGTTGCTAGGAACAGGTAGGTACTCTGCGTCTATCCTTTGGAGAGCGTCGATATGTTTTCCGATCTCCGGACAATAGACGCATTGCTATCGAGACTTCCCCTGCTTGGCTTTGTCTCTGAGACAATGTAAGGCCATCTTAGCTAGTCGCTTGTAGGCACAAGTAAAGTAAGACTCGGTGGCGGTGGAATGCAAGGCAAATGATGATGATACATCAGCGCGTGGATACGATGTCGCATGTGAAATTGAGCTGGAGCCCGGCTGAAAGATTTACATTTTTGCGAAGAGAGTTTCTGTACAGTGTTTTGTTTTCGTTTTCTGTGGAACAAAGGATCTTGTGATTTTGTGCTGACAAAGCTGCCTATTGCGTAGTGTTGTTTCCATTTCACTTGTGGAAGGAGCATTGAGCTGGCCGAACCCGTAGGGCAGGAGCAATGTGAGGCGGAAAGTGTATCTCGCTGGTGTTGAAAATGCACAAAATCTAGATTTCTACACCACCTCACATCACAGTGCCTACGCAAGTCTTCGTACGTCAATGCTGCTGTTTATCAGTTCCATTGGTCAATTAAACTGACTTCTGGATGCAGTATCCTCGGCTTTTGACTTTTCTCAAGCTGTGTTGTGGCATCCGTTCCTGGATCCCGGGTAGTCCGTTCCTGGAAAAAAAGCCAAAGACCTCAAGCGCTGTGTTACGTGGTACCTACAGCTCCAGCACACGAGGTGATGAACCTTGATCCCCCCGCATGCATTCATCAAGGATCGAGAGGCCCACTGAAAACCTTGCCTACTGTCGACTATGCCCTATCCAGGCGCGTGCTGCTCGGGATGATGTCTATGCTATTCAGTTCCAATGATCGAGAAGTCATTCCACGTCAACGGGAGTCTTTGCTACGTTACGACAAGGCCTTCCCCTGATAGTAGAGGGTGGACTACAGATGGAGCCAGCGTACTCGTACGAGAAGAAAAAATTTGCAGCTTGCTGGGCCGCAGTTCCAAGTATCGCCGACCTTTGGGGCCTTCAGTGGGCCTGCTCGATGGCGACTCCAGCAGGTTTGCGTGAAAAGCAGATGTCATCGTCCGCAATCATGGCCTCTTCGAAGGCGACTGTGGAGGTGGGACCCAAGCCCACAAAAGTCTTGCGCAGAGTTGTGTGTGAAAAGCTTGTTGGCGCCGATCGCACTCCCGAAGACCTGATGATCTCTGCTCTCCCTGAAGATCAACAGACCTTTGGGCAACGCAGCCGGCGCTTGGCAATGGCCTGGCCGAGGATCAGAGCCCTGTGCTCCGTATTGCATCACAGGTCCTCTTCTGCTTGACGGAGGTTTCGCGTTGCACACGGAGGGAAAAAAGAGGCAGCTACTGCAGTGGAGAGTTACGGCGAGAACCACCATCGCTCTGTACGAGGACCTTGCGTAGTACCCGGCAAGGAGGCATTGAGACAGAGGCATTGAGACAACGACGAAAAAAAATATTCGACTATGCCGAGCCTGTAGTGCTCCGTGGCGCCAAGTCGGAAGTGGCGGGCGCATTGAATAGGCGTAGATGGGACCTGTTGTGAGCAGTGCTGGCACAGCTGAAGACTTGATAGCTGCTCCATTCGAAAGCCCGACGCTTTTGCTCTCACCACTGGCTAAGAAGCACGCTAGCCAGTGGCGACCGTTTACCCCTGGAGCGTTGCGAAGAAGAGAGCTGAGATTTTAACACGCCATATCACGCAAAGAGGAAAGCTCCTCACCAGGTCGGTTGATCGATTTGAACTGCGGCTGCACGTTTACTCCCCGTTGGCTGGCCGGCTTTGCAGCCCCAATTATCCACCTCCTTGGCTATCCTGGGCAAAGGCCGAGAACACGACATGGCCTCCTGGGAGGGGGAAAATTAAAAGAAAAAAACAAAAGCGTCAACGGGGAGGACAAAAATAACCAGATGACATGGACAGGGCTCTCCAGATTTTGTTTTCTTTTCCATGACACAGCGTTCGCATTCCAGTCTCGACGAGGGCCAACGCAATTCATGCCCCTTCGAGATTCGATTCCTCCAAGTTCTCCGAAATTCCGTATTAGTCTGCATGTATCAAGTACTATTCCATGCTTGCCGATTGCAACCAGTCTCAAACTGCTTTTCGGAAGCAGGCCATGGAAATGGGACGGTGCACCCCTAACGCCATCACCGAAAGTCAAATCTCTTGCGCCTAATGCATGTACGAAGGCTCCAGTTAAATACTACTCCGTGCTACATGCCTGCGATGCATGTGCATGCGCAACAAACCGTGCAAGCTCAGAACTTCAGCTCTCCACTGAGCTGATGAGGCCGTACAGGAATAGCACACAGCATCAATCTCTAGTGACGGCTTGGTCCGAGAGGGAGGCATTGCTGATGCGCGTGAATCCTCACAGGCAGAGTCTGCGTGAGCGAGGCAGCACGAGATGCTCTGCACGGAGTTCGGAGTCGCACATGGCGCTGGCACCTAAGCTCCCAAGCCCTCTTGGCAAGGCGACGGGCTTACAGGCGCAAGCACCGGTATTGATACCGCAAATAATCACTACCAGCGATGGATACCAGCCGTATGGATACTTCTCGTATGGACATTGCTGCTCGTACCTCGCGGCCCATCAATTGAAAGCCAGCCATTCCGCGTCTCCACTCGTGATAACCGCCCGCTAACTGGACTAAGCCCCAGCCTCCACACGGTTGCCGCCCGGGCTGACGGTACAGGCACTCGTATCTGAAGAGAGCAGGGAGCAGGACGCAGAGAACAGAGAGAGCATTCTTGGGTGCTGAGGCATCGCAGGCCGATGCTGTCTGTGTCAATGTTGTTGCTGTTGCTGTGATGTGCTTGTGTTCGTCAATGCTCGGCGTTCGTTCCACTGCGGTCTGAACCCCCGGGCAGAAGCCCACCACACCACACCTGTCGCAGCCGGAACCCAACCACACCACCTGATTCGCATCCAGTCTTTCATATCCTCCACCGTAATGGCTGGCGAGAAGAGGCGCCTGGATCCTCCGTGTGCAGACAGGGGAGCCAGAAAGGGACAGCAGCTAGGCAGGGATAGGGGCGGGCTACCTGAGCACTGAGCTCCGTCTCTTGGCCTGCCATCCATGGCTTACGAGATCGGCCTAACAGACGCAGCCCAGGCTACCGACAGGGGACCAATCTGATGGATGGTGAATGGGATGGGATGGATGGACGAACTAGCCACTCAATAGCCGGCACGCATCTTAACGCCTGGCCTGGCCGACCGTCGCTCTCCTGAAGTTGCATCCCTTTTTTTTCTTCTTCTCAACCCCTTCTTGTCGTACGCTGTCTTGTTCCTGCCGCTCTCTTTCATCGCCCACCGACGTCGAACTTGAGGCTCCGAGCGTCTTCTTCTCCGCGAGAGCTTGCATTGTCTTGTACTGTCTCGTATAGCCCCAAGAGCACCTACGTTTGGCTCATTTCCCCCTCTTTCATAGCTGCCTCGGCTGCTCACTCGTTCGTGTTCGACTTCTTTTTTTGGGCTTTCTTCGCCGGCACACCTTTCGCTCCTCGCGCCGTCTCTTGACATTTGTTTCCTCTTGTTCCGGCATCAAGCATCATCGCTTCCTAGCTTCGCCTTTTACTGTATTTTATTCATTTGTATTTTCGAGATTTTTTCTTCCCAACCTTCATTTTCTCGCGCCGTGTCTTTGCATTACCTCTTTAATCTCTCTCTCTGGCCCCTCTTATTCATTACTTTTTGCATCCTTCCTCAGATCGCTCCTGGAATCCCGAGATAGGAGCCTGTGCGCTAGCAATATTGCGCTGTAATCCCGAGATTAATGTGAGTCTCACGCTTTTCTTTGCCTAGCCTTGCGCATGCCGGACGCTCCCGGCCAACCACCTGGTCGTGTCTCAGCCAGAAATACCTGCCCACCGCCAGGCCAGCTTACCAACAAGGAGTCTTGCTGGCTTCTCCAAACTACAAACCAAACAATTCATTCTGGCCTCGTCACACTCGCGGCTCGTCCTCTTCGACAAAGGCGGGACCAAGGCCAAAAAAAAAGAGATGCACTGGACGGGCATTTGCTAACGTGGGATATTTCTTTATGCAGCCACCCAGCAAACTCTGTGTCGCCCAACGAGTTTGACGCGATTACACCTGACAGCCACTCAGACGGTCCATCATTCGTCGCATTCGTCCTTTTATCACCGGACCTCGTATCGCCAGGGTCCTAAGCCTGCTGACCCGTTCCCACCCCTCAGCCGCCGGAAAATTTGTTGGGTAGCGTCGGAAAAAAATCGCCGTCGAGCTGCAAGATAGGAGGTGCAGTCAAAATCTCGATCAGAGACTTCTCATCGTGTGGACTTCATGCCTAGATTCTCAGTTGCCTTTGCCAGGCGGAAGAGCACCGCAGACGACATCGAAAATGCCGAGGTAACACCACCTGGACAGTCTTCGTTTAGAGTCTTGGAACGACACGATTATTCGGGCGTTAAATCGTTTGACGGAGGGGCGAAGATGGCCAGATCCACTGGATCTCTACTTCCCAAGCCTGACTATCAAGCAGATGATAACATGTTTTCTGATATGAAGGCTAACCGGTAAGTTTCGAACCCTTTTTCTGTGTTTGATTTTTTTTGTCTTGGCGAAGAGGGAAGGGAATGGGGGACTGGAGGAGAGAGATGATGCGCTGTGCTGTTTGATCCATGTCTGAGAGACTCAACCATGGGAAGTTATCATCTTGACCCCTTTGCATACTAACTGCTTCGTTAAGTGGAAGTGGCTTGTCCAACAACACCACGAACACCACGTCTACCGATACGTCTTCACGCCACAGTAATGCATCGACAGCCCCGTCGTCGGCCGACTTTAGTGGAGGCAACTTGTTCCACGATGACCATCGAAATGGACCACCCAAGAGTTCATCATCGGATATGCATGGCCGTGGGAATTCCAACAAATCCATCGGATCCAAATTCTTAGACCGGGCTGGCCGTACCTTTTCGTTTGGTGGGCAAAAGAAGCATACCATCCCCCCACCGCTGGAGGACCCTCTAATGCCGGACTTGCCGCCGCCTATGCCTATCATGGCTGAACCAGGACGCACTGGATCTAGAGGTACGACTACATATACGCAGGCCCCAACCATTCCCCGCAAGCCAGCTCCCCGTAATACCAATGTTTTAGACCTTGGTAGTGACTTTGGATCAATGTTTTCAGGATCAGGTTTCGAAAAGAGAGCAAGCATGGCCACGCTTAAGAACGACGACTTGGCTTCTCCCCGGCTCCTCACAGGCAACCCTCAGGGCCACCAGCCGTTTCCGCGCAGCCCAGACGCGGCCACACCATCCGAGCCGTTGCTCAATTCATGGAATACGCCCAAATCTAATGTGATTGTCGATGACTACTCATCGGACAAGAGCGCCTCACCAACCTACGATAGCCCCCCGCGAGTTCCAGCCCATTCATCCCCGCGGTATCAGTCTCCCGCTCGACAACCACCGGCTAGGAGGTCCCCCCCAGCTGAGCAACCCCCAGCTCGTCAGAAGCCCACTCCTCGTCAGCAACCCCCGGCTCGCCAGCAACCACCAGCTCACCAGCAGCCACCAGCTCACCAGCCACCACCAATGAGCCCAGATGAGTCACAGGATGACGAGGATGCGCAGCTCCTGCAAGAAACTTACACTGCCATCCAGCTCCTTTCGGCCGAAGATGATGAGTTTGATGAAAACCCACAACAGGGGCGATACCGGCGGGAGGAGGATAGCTTTACGGCGGTTCCACGGGCCAAGACTGCTCCCATCGCCAACTCTGGAAAGAATGGAGACGGCATGCAGGATGCTAACAGGCCTCGATTCCCGAAGCCGAACATTCGATATGCCCCCCCTGATGGTGCACCTCGGAACAAGGTGATGACCCCAGCTGAATTCGAAAAATACCGGGAGGACAAGATTCGCCATGATAGATCGAACAGCACCGCAAAGGATGATGAGGAAGAGGAGATCAACTACGAGGATGAAGAAGATGAGGCTGAAAAGTCTAAGCAGCAGGCAAAGCAGAGACGGAAGCAGGAGGCTCACATGGCTGTGTACCGACAGCAGATGATGAAGGTTACTGGCGAAACCACTCCAACAAATGGTTTGGGCATCCCGGTTTCAATGAGCGCACCACAGCTCGGGCATGTAAAGACGCCCTCGCTTGACCCAGCGGCAGCGCCTCCGCCCATGCTGGCACCTGCAACTGCGGTGTCTGGCGCCTCTGATGAGGGCGATGATGATGAGGAGATCCCGCTTGCCATTTTGCAGGCGCATGGGTTTCCCAACAAGAATCGACCCCCCACCAGGCTCAGCACAATGGGATCAAACCCTAACATGCGAGCCTCAGCAATGCTCATGCCAGGGCGCCCATCGTCAGCTATGGGAGAATCTGCTGCTTCCCGACGCCACTCCACCCTCCCAGCCTTTGCACGAAACTTGCCCCAGGACCCGTTTATTGGAGCGAGCATTGCCCAGCCTGCCCTTCGGGAGTCCTTATCATTCAATGATATGGGCCTGGGCCCTAAGCCGCCTTCTCCGCTGCCTCCCGGAGGTCTTGTTGGCGTAATTGCCAGCGAGGAGCGACAGAGAGCCATGCGACGTGGAAGCCCAAGCGTCGACCCTTCGAGACTAATGGGCAGTGGCTTCTCTACTCCTGTAGGAGTCGACCCTGCTGCCGGGATTCCCCCGCACATGATGTACCCCCAGGGTCAGATGGGAGGCATGGGAGGCATGGGAGGTGGAATGCCTGGCATGATGCCCCCCATGATGCAGCCGCCGATGATTAGCGCTGGCGACCAAGCTCAGCTCCAGATGACGCAGCAAATGTCGCAGTTTATGCAGATGCAGATGCAATTCATGCAAATGATGGCTGCGAATCAAAACGGCGGCGTGCCACAGCAGCAGGCGCCGCAGCTGCAGCCACCTTTCCAGCAGCCCTATGGCGGGTTGATGGGCAATCAATCTATGGTTGACATTTCTTCTCGTGCCTCCATGATGGGCGACCAGACTCTGGAACCTCGCCGTGGCGATTACGGCAGTATGCGGACGATGAGCATGGTTCAGCCCAGCTCAGCGCCGATGGCTCATCCTGGATACGCTGGATCTATTCGATCATCTATCCATGGTTATACGCCGTCAATTGCACCGTCAGAAAGAAGCAACATTGGCCTCCCCAACCGTTACAGACCCGTTTCGCAGGCTGTGGCCCCTGCCGGACTTGGTCATATACCTTCGCAGTCTTTCTCAAGTTCCCTGTCCGTGTTGGCTGACAACAAGAACCGGACGTCGATGAGGATTGTAAACAAGTCGGCTTCCGATGACGATGACGACGACGAAGAGGGCTGGGAGGCGATGAAGAACAAGAGAGAAAAGAAGAGGTCTCTCTGGAGAAGCAAAAAGAACTTGAGCTCAGTGATCTGAGCAAACGATGTCATTACCGAACTTGCATGTCTTTTCACCCCTCTCCTTTGTCTCATCCTATGGGCGAAGAGCAAGATGTGTTTATGGATGAAAATGAGCGTGCATCTGCCTTGTGGTGCAAGCGTGAATTTGTGCGAGCGCGTGCGAGTACGAGTGCGAGAGTGTGTACGTGTGTGTGTGTGCGAGTGTGTCTCGCCTTTGTCGAGAAAGGGGCGAGCACGAGGTCGATAATTGGGATTTCTAACTTGGACCTCCTCTGACGCTATGCTTGGATAACCAAATGGTCCGTCATATTATGCAGCGCGACCCGATATAAAGAGAAAAAATAATTTTATTTGACAGGCTAGATGTTTTTGGGATGTCCGCTTCGGGCGTCAATGGTGGGAACATTTGTCTGGACGGATTCGCGTCACGCATGATAGAAATGGCTCTACGCCGTAATTGAATAATTTGTCTGCAATGGCTCTCTCCTTTTTTTCTTTTCCTTTTTGTCTGGCAGAGAGGGGGGGAATCATGGCTTATAAGCGATGGGAAACGAAAAAGATAAAGGCAAAAAATATCGTTGGGAAATCAAAACGGATGTATCTAATCCAAAGCGGCCAATTTCTTCTTGTTTTTTTTTGTAGCTAGCTGCTAATGGGTGGTATATGAACTGATTAGCTGTATCATAATATCTGACTGAGCTTTATGGAGTCGACACTTTGGCTCTATTCTTGCCAATATCTTGCCAGCGTGCCTTTTTCTTTATATGGGGGGTTTTCGTAAAATCGCTCTTCTCAAACGCCCTAGTGTTTGGTATTTCTCGGAAGATTTCTTCTTTTTTTTTTTTGTATGTATGTAAATGTAGTTTTAGCCCTGGATCTTTCCGGTTGCCCACTCGTTCTTCTTGACGCCCATCTCCACAGCCGCTAGGCCCCAATCTTCTCCGTGGTTGTGGCCCTTGCCCTCAGCGCTCGTGCTAATACCCGCGCGGGACTTTGCCTGCTCCTCAGTGAGCACGGTCAGAACGCCGAAGATGACGGGGATGCCGATGTCGAGCTGGACGCGCATGAGGCCCTGGGAGACGGAATCGGCAATGTACTCAAAGTGCATGGTCTCGCCCTTGATGAGCACGCCAATGGCGATGATTGCGTCAAAGGGTCCGCTGGAGTCGCCGGCGGAGAGGGCGGTTAGGTCGTGGGTGGAAGCACCGAGGAGGTCGGTAGCTGAGGGAGCGCCGGAAGCATTGGACTGGATCTGAGAGGCAGAGAATAGTCTATTTGCCCATTGAGAGAGCGTGCGCACATCAGCCATCTTTGATCTCGGTTGCTAGAGGGAGGGGTGGGAATGAGGAGGGGCAGGAATACCGCTGAACGGCAATGGGGAGCTCCCACGAGCCGGGGCAAGACTGGATCACAATGTTGGACTCCTTGACGCCAGCCTCTAGCAGCTTCGCCTTTGTGCCGGCCAGGAGAGGCTCGATGATGGTGGTGTTCCAGCGGGCGTGGACGATGCCGATGCGAAGGCCGGAGCCGTCGTGGTGCTGAGGAGCAGGGCCCTTGAGAGAAGACATGTTTGGCAGGCTGGTATAAAAGGACGGGGGAAAAAAAGAGAGAAGATGCTAAAGGGGATATATGTTGGAGTTACTAGGTATGCTTATCCAAGAATGTTTTGTATGATGTCGAGGTAAAAGATCAGAAGCAAATAAGACCGCGAGACATGCGATGGGAGCTCTCAGCTTCGGTCTAGCTGACTGATCAGATGAATGCGGCGGGGCAACAGGCACGGCGGCGGGGTAGGTTTGCTGGGAGCGGTAGCTCGTACTGGGTACTTTGCGCAGCGGCGGAAAACGTCACTTTGCTCTGCAGGAACTGGCTGGCAGGTGACCCGCGCGGTGACTTTCGGCCAAGGTCGTTTCCACGCGGCGCGATTACGAAGGAGCTACAAAGCCTTACGGTATCCTGCGGGTCTTGGAGCCTCTTTCCATGTTGCTATTGTCGAACATGGCTGAGGTAGCGACTACTGCCTACTACTGCCATAGGTACCTGTAGGTGGTCTCATTGACAATATGGAACTGACAGGACATCGCAGCTTCCTCTCGCCTCCATCTTTACATTGTTTCCCATCTTGATTCGCCGAGTTGGTATGGGAAGGAGTGATGAATCAAAACTTCAGTATGTACTTGCCAGACAGTAGATATTCTTTAATGGCAGCCTTGGAGGTGGTTTGCTTCAATTGACTTCTTCATCATCCTGTACCGCAATATCGTGAAATCCCCAAGTGACAATACCGTTATCCATATCCCTATTATGCCGTGTTAATTACAGTTTTTACGATGCCAATCTCAGCTCTGCCTCAATCGACTGTCCGCCTTCTTGGCTCCTCAGTCGTCATCAGCAAGCCTTGTGACGTGGTCAAGGAGCTTCTGGACAATGCCATCGACGCGGGAGCTAGCTTTGTTGAAATTGCAATCTCGCCCAATTATCTCGATACGATACGAGTCCGTGACGACGGCCAAGGAATCGACATTGAAGATTTTGATGCTCTTGGTAAACGTACTCATACCAGCAAGTTGAGAGCTTTCGATGAGCTTGGATCGAGGGCCAGAGAGACGCTGGGCTTTCGTGGTGAGGCGCTTGCGGCCATGAATTCTCTCGCTACCATCACTGTTACAACCCGAACGGTCAAGGATGTTGTAGCGACACGATTGCAGCTCAAGCCAAAAGCTGGAGGTGTTGACAACAGACAACCAGTATCGGCTCCTGTTGGTACAACCGTTCAGATCACCAAGCTTTTCGACACACTGCCCGTTAGAAAACAATATTCTTTGAAAATTAGCGCCAAATACATACAATCTACAAAAGATCTCTTGAAGGCCTGCGCCCTAGCCCGACCGGACCTTAGACTGTCATTCAAGGTTCTTGGAGAAGCTACCCACTGCTGGTCATACGCCCCTGTTTGTGCCGCAGGAGTCAAAGAGGCGGCTCTGCAGATATTTGGAACTACTTTGGCGAATAATTGCGTCTATGTGTCTCGCAACTCAGCGTGTGATCAGGCGACACCTCCCCAACTCCATCAGCAGCTCCCCGAAGATTTCATATTGGAAGCTCTCATCCCAAAGCCCGGTTTTGAAGTCCAAGCTGTCAAGGGAAAAGGGTTTTATTTATCCATCGATTCAAGGCCCATCTCATCTCAGGACGCCATGGCTAAAAAGCTCATAGCCATTTATAAGCCATATCTGAACCGGGCTGCTGGCACAGGAGAGTCTTGTGCTAGCATACCCAACCCTTTCGTGCAGCTAAATATTCGGTGCCCCCCTAACAGCTACGATGTAAATGTGACACCGCTTAAGGATGAAGTTGTGTTTGGAAACGAAGGGGCCATCACGGCCTGTTTTGAGGGACTTTGCCAAAAGATATACTCTCAAAGATCCGTCAACGGTCCCGTTTCAACACAGAGACCCTCGGAGCATGAGAAGGAGGTTAGGGAATCAATCAAAGATAGAAATGAAAGCGAGGGTATCCAGCCATACTCGGCGATCGACCGCCTGCCAGATGCTCCGACTCCAGATTCCTCCTCGAATGCCCAATCGATACACAGCGCAGGGCAACTAACCACGCTCCAGGAAACAACAAGAGATCAAACAGTCAATCAAGAGAGTGCGCCTACACTATTGTCTGAACAATCTTGCACACAGAGCGCAACCTCGTTGGCAAGAATGAGGACATGCAAAACTGTTAATATGTTCCGGACCAATAGCAACTCTACTGATGAGGACAGCGCGGCCGATACAATTGAGATAAAGGTGCCTCAATCGTTTACGACAGCGACCATTCCCTCTAGCAAACGGGCCGGCGGGAGCTTACGAATCCCCAATAAGTCCGTATCAGAGAATATCGAAAGATATCTCCTCTCGAGCAAGAATGCAACTTTCCAAATAGCGACAGATGAGACGGCCACCAAGAGAACCCAGCCGGCTTCTGTGACATCAACATCGCCCACAAAGTTCCCCGGCCGCATACCTCTACAACCTTTGACCGATTCCACGTTAAATGCGATGAATGGCCAAGAAGATTCGGAATCTGATACTTTAAGTGCTGGATCAGATATACCAGAACCAAATAACAATACGCGGAGCATTGTTGCTACCAATCAGACAGATCAAATATTTCAACGAGCATCTCTCAATCCTACTCTGTCGCCTTTCGAACCTGAGCGCCTGGAATATAGCTCCCCGAATCAGTTGAGAAGTGTCACGGAATGGCCAACACCTCCTGCATCTGGTAATTTGCGAAGCGCGAGACCGTTCAATTCTCCGTTCAGACCCCCACTCAGGACTTCGCAAAGGGACAGCCCAACAGGAAATATTGCAAATACACGATCACGGGTCAGGGCTCCGGAAAGTGGCAGGGTAATACCTTTTACTTTGCCAGGGCAAACCCGCACCCAACGGCCAACGGTACTTGGACGGACTACCCAACAAGTGGGATTGGCAGGTACTCCCAGGTCTAATGCAGAGACAGGAGTGACTTACCCTCAGCTGCACCCCCAAAGAGTACATGGGTTGAGCCGCCAGAGAGACATGGACCAAAATTTGACACAAGATGCTGAACTAGCATCGCGACAGGATACCCGAGATGATGTCTCACAGCCGCATCTTTCCTTGCATGAACCGGACCAGCATTCTCCTTTTCTGCAGACACCCTTTATGAGAGCTCTACTCCTCGGTATCACACCAGTGCCAAATACAGGGCAAGGTGATCCGAGTGTGGGTGGCGGTGTCTCGATGGTTCAGATGCCAGATATCTCACCGACTACCTTGGTTCGCCATGAACCACGGGATGTCACCCCCCCTGATAATAAAAATGACAACATAGAAGACTCGAGGCTTTATCTTATCAAGCGGCGACGCTCACAAGCGAGACATGGCATTGCGAGGCGAATCTCATCTCGTCAGCTTCCCCTCGAGGTGGTTCCTAACGACTTGACGATGCGGAACGCTTCCACTTCGCTCAGGCCTCCGGCGAGAAAGGTCGTCGAGTCATTGTTTACACGAGCCGATTGGCTAGACTATGACGCGAGGAAAGATAAATGGGGATACGCAGTAGAGTTCCAAAGCATGGGAGAGGTTACCAAGCTGGAAAAACGTCTCCACAATGTTGTGGAATCATGGAAACAAACACAGAATCAACCTGTTGAAGTGGAATATAAGCTACGATCGGCAGCAAAGGGCAAGGGGATGAGTGGTGAGTCGTTGACTGCACCTCAATACTGTGAGAGCTGGTGGTTAGATCAGGGCTTTCTGTTGAAGTAGGATGATGGGCAAAAACGCTCATATGAGTGTAACTTGTTTGGAAGAAGATTTCGAAGGACATTTCAACGAAGGGCTAATGCAACACCTACGGTTTAACGAGCTATCTAGCTAATACAGTTTCTATTTCAATGATGGTGTTGTCGAGTACAGAGATGAGAACCGCCGATATACAACATAAGGGTCATTTGTCATGATACTAGGACTTTCTTCTTACCACCGAGGTAGCCAGATTACCGCCTCCGCAGGGAAATAGCTGTTTGCCGAGACTGTGCTATATCCGGAGCTTAAAAGAATAAAGCTCTGAGCAACATGAAGCTACGGCCGGGAGATCCGGGAGATGTTTGGCCAAAGCGAATCATGGGAAGTATATTCGAGGTGAGAAGTGGGTTTGTTTCGACTAGTAAACGTCATGGAAGATTTGGCATTTCACGGCAAAAGGTGGATCTGAGTCTGTACGGTGATGCCGGACCGGCAATGCAGGCGCTGCTGTAGAGATACAGGGGGGGTTTTGTGTTGCCGAAATCTCCTGCGGGTTTTCAGCAATAGTAAGTGTAGCATGACCGGGGGAGCATCAACATCAGGTCTCGCTGTATGAAATGCTACGAGTGCGTATTTGACAGAGCTGAAAAATTGCTCTTTTCGGAACATTTTGGTGGCCTTGCAGAGGGGTTGATCTTGATTGGGGTATAACATTCGATCGAAATCGCCGGCAGTGGATGTTTTCTTGTTTAATTCCCTTGAAACTTCGTATCATCGTACAGAGAGTACGAGAAAATCTTTGTGGAGGGCGATCTTGGTGAGGGTCCCCATGCTTCTGGGATGTACCTGTACATGGGACTTTGGGGGGACAAGCTGCATTGGCTCGTATACGCGGATTGCGTAAGTGCTGCTTGTGACGTGGTGGCATGAGAGGACAATGACGAAGCATGCGTGCATTTGAGATGGAATTTGGAGTTGATTGTGCGACGGGAGGGATTTTGAGACCGTTTTGAGTCCAAGTTCAGTTGACGATGGATGGCGCCTCCTACCGTACCGTAGTGGCCTGGGTAAGGTACTTGCAAGCTCGAGGTGCGTATTGAGGAGGTTCACGTACCCGAGCCAGAAGGAGGTACCTGTACCTCTACTTGTAATACGCACAAACATGCAGTAACATCAGAATGTCCAATCACCAGCGGCAATAGGGGCTGCAACTATGGCTGGCCCTGGATCGGTTTAAAAATAGGCACGAGCAGTCCTAGCGGCTGGGACGAGAGACCCGGGCTAGGATGAATGGCGACTAGGCGGGAGGGACCCCCGGCAAGCCAGTTGAGCAGGGCACTTCGTATCTGCTGATGATGGGTGTGAGGATCGACGCCAAGCAAGGAAAAGCTGATGTTTCTTTTTTTTTTTTTTTCGGTTACGCTTACTTTATTGTTGTGTTTGGGTGTCACTTAGTCAGTGAGATGGGTGAGAAAGCAAAAATACAAATATGATGTGTATGATGTGCGAATGTCTTCTGATCTCGAGATGCTTATCAATGCTGTTATTTGTGGTGTTGGAATCGGAAAGGGACCCCTACAAGCACCGAAGCAAACATGAAAGATCACGACCCAGAGATCCACCTAGCCAACGTCACCACTTTTCCCTCTCTCTCTTTCGTCCCATGTCGTTCCCTAGCATCAGCCTTTGCTGGACATGCTTCCCACCTGTCAAACATGATTCACAAATCACCTGCATCCAGACCTCGTATTTGCCTTGTAAGCAGATCTGAGAACGGGAGGCCCTCAGTGGGAAGAGGAGGAGCATCATGATGGCAGTCCGGTGCTAGTGCGCGGGGGGAGCAGCAGTCATGTAGTACTTGTAAGTTTCTAGAATTAGCACTCCCGTGCGGCGATAAGCTTGCAATGTTTCTTGCATGAGCACGTCGGAGAAAGTCATACGTGCAGGAGGAATGGATACAGGTATACGAAGCCCAGCGTCGGCCGGCACTCCGTATGCAGGGTTATTTTCAGCCCGCAGCCGGTAATGGGGCGACGAGAGAAATATAGAGGACTATCATTTTGTAAGAACTCAGCGTGTTGCAAACACTACATACGTTGCCGCCCATTTACACTGGACATGTCGTGATGAAGCCATCGTGAGATAACATGCCAGACGGGGCCTGTACTCGGACTGGTTAGAAACAGGAGCTCGTAACAATGCTGGAGCTTAGGACGGGTCGTTTCAGGCCATGGGCGCCACAGCAGGTGCACTGCCACTGTTTGCTCCGACCGGCGGGCGCCTCTTTTTGGGAAGATCCATGTTAGACAAACAAGTACCGCTACCTTGGAGTAAAGCGCCCAAGACACTGAAAGTAAGGTAGGGACATGTAGCGTCGGCAGGATACGAATCTGGGACGCTGGGTGATGGATGTGCCAATGCACGCGGGATGGGCTGTGTCCTTGTTTGTGGAAAAATATCGAGGGTACTGTAGAATAGTTGAGAAACTTCCATGGCAACACCGGCTAAAAGAATCAATGCGAGGAATTGGATCTTGAAGATTGAAGACGTAACTCTCGCTACAGGGCTCCAACTTGAGCTCCAACAGCTGTCGCTAGGGTGGACTCGGCGACGCTTCCAGGCGACACCTGAGCTTTGGTGCTTGTACTTGTAGGCGCTGCCTCGCCTAGAGCTCCAGCGCACTCGCTCAGACGCGCACGACACTGCCACTCTTCCCACTCCACCCTAGCTTTTTGGCCCAGCTCCCACACCAGCCCAGACCATCGTCTGCGCCGTCCAACATTTGATCTCTCCCGATTTTTTTTTCCTCTGCCCTTTTCTTTTGCACATCCAAATCTTCCATTTTCCACCCATTTTCTAACCTACAGTCCCTCGTTTTACCCTTGCGCCTACTCGCAAACCCTTCTGCTCGCTTTCTTCTACCGTTTGGCTGATTTTGTTGCTCTGCCGCTAAAGATGCGCGACGTCTGAATGAAAGCCTGCAGCGATGGCCCCCTGGCTTTCGATGCCCACGATGCATCCATCTGATCGCCATAGTTGCGACAGCAACCACAGCAGCCACCACGACACCGGCTGCGACCGCCATGAGCCGCGCACATTGGCCGCAGACTCAGCAAAGGGCCAGCATCGCCCAGCATCGCTACAAGTAGCCGCTAACTCTCGCTCGACTTTGCAGCTGCGGGAATCCGAATTCATGGAGGGGAGCGCCAGACAAGGCTGCGTCATCAGCGCGCGAACGAAATGGAGCATCTTCGCACGACCGGCGTGGCTCATCCTCACATTGCTCACGCTCGCCCTCGTCGCGACGCCGGCCGCCGCCGTCCTGGTCGAGTTCGAAAACTGCCTCCCCGACTCGTACCGCTTGAACAATCCTCCCCTGCTGCAGTGGGAGCCTCTATATGTCGACGCCTTCTTCGACACCAAGACGCCCAACAACAATCTCCATGTGACTGTATGGGCGAATGTTACGGGCTCGCAGAATTCGGGGTCGCTTCCCCCGCCGAATGACCCATATTGGACCGATCCCAAGGAGACCAACGGCAAAATCGAGCAGACGCCCTATATCGATACTCTTGCTACCACGCTGATCCGGAGAGTCAACGTCTTGACGTATGAGCCGTGGAATGACCGCTCCAATTTCTGCACGACCAGTCTCGTTAATGGGACATGTCCGTTGGCACCGACGTTCGGTAATGTGTAAGTCACCCACCAGTCATCTCATCATCACATCATCATCGCCCCTCTCTCAACCCCCCACCAGCTGGTCTCTTAAAGGCACTCACCCTTGCTGGGTTACAGCATAGTGTGACCACTTATGCCTGCCTTGTCAATGCGATACTGACTAAACATGTGCCTTGATCGTGTAGCGACCTCCCCTATGGACTTCCATCAGTGAATCTGTCCCATGACTTTTTCTCTTCATACGCGTTCAGCTCCTTCTCTCTTACTTTTCTCCTCATCAATGGCGACAAGGCCGCTACCAACATTGGCTGCGTTTCTGCAGTCGTCACCCCCGACCTGGGTGGCCTCGCATGGGTGCTCAAGTTCATGCCCCTTCTGGTCCTGCTCTTTGCTGGCTTCGCGGTCCCGTTTGCGGGTATATGGAGCCCCTGGGGCACCACCGACGTCTTCCACTGGACATCCAACTATGGCCGAGACGCTGATTTGCTAAGACTCGTTACTCCCGGGTTTGGTGACTGTCTGCAATACATTCAGTTCATCGTCCTGACTGGTGCCTTGACGCTCGACTACCCCGGCTTCTTCCAACCTGTTGTGAGCCAAGTCGGGTGGTCATCCCTCATGTTCAACGAAAGCTTTGTCGCCCACGCCGACCCATGGCACAATGTGGTGGATGGAATCTACGTGACCAAAAACGGCACAGAATTCGGGCTGCAGAAGATGGCGCAGCTCATTGGCATGTCCGAGGCTGAAGATGTGTGGCCGGGCATGATGGTGTGGCTCTGTGTCATGATTGCCTCCGTCATCGTCCTCATCCAGCTTGGCTTTGCCGCCCAGTGGATCTTCCGCAAGATCAGGAAGACTACCGAGGAGGACCTGCGGGCGAAGAATATCCCGTTTGTCATTGGCAACGTGGTGCGCATAGTCTTCAATTTTATGCTGACCCCAATCGTGGCACTATCATGCTTCCAATTTGTCGTCTCTGGCCAGTCGCCGGGTTGGACCGTTGCCTTGGCTGCGCTGACACTGGCCGTAGTTATCGGCTTTGCGAGCTATCTGCTTTGGTTCATTATCACTACGCGGCCTAAGTCGGCTCTGTTTGATGATTTGCCCACTGTCCTGCGGTACGGGCCCCTCTATAACACATACGCCGACGAGGTCGCTGCGTTTGCTCTTATCCCGATCCTGCTCAACGTCATCAGAGGCGTTGCTATCGGTGCCGTTCAGCCGAGCGGTGTTGCCCAAGTCGTGCTTTTGGCCATTTGCGAGGTTATCCAAATTCTCATGATCTACGCATTCCGGCCCTATCAAAGGGCCACCTCGATGAATATCTATCACAGCCTTTTCGCAGTTTTACGGTTGATGATCATCATCCTCATGGTTACTTTTGTACCCAGCTTGGGTGTTACCGAAGGCCCAAAGGGCTGGATCGGATATGCTATTTTGCTGCTTCATGCCTGTGTGCTCGCCCTCGGCTTCTTCCTTGGTGCTGTGCAGACCATCATCGAAGTGATTGCTAGATTGTTCGGTGCTGGCGGAGACGATGTCACTGGCTTGACTAGAGGTGGCCTCTCTAAGATCTTTGGCATGCGGCAACTGTCCAGGAGAGTCAACCATCACAGCCAGGGACCATCTCGGGCCAGCCAACTGTCCACCGCAGCCATGCTGGATGCCGATGATAGTGGCAAGTCTGGGTACGTGATGCCAAGTGGTAGAGTCCGCAGCGGTTCCGTGGCCAGTCTTAGTGGTGTCATTACCCACCACCGACACCGAAGCAGCTCGGCTCTTGACAGTATGTATTCGGCCGTCCACCGGAATGCCGATACTGCTAGTTCCTACATACCGGGAACGCCGGGCGAGGCCAGCACCTTTTCATTTCTTGCGTCGCCATCTGCTGCTCGCCAGGGGCCGCCTGGTGTTGTCATGGAAGCCTCTGATCCATACTACCGGCCTCCACGGCGGCGTCGTGAGATGACTGGTGATTCCGGACAGACCGACGGCCAGCGTGACTCGCTCGTCATTGAGCCTGTTCCTCAGGCTGGAGGATTGGCCCCTGAATCTCCTGACGGGGTGGCAGAAATTTCACGAGGAGCTACTCCGGCACCTGGACACGGCAATAATAATCTTTCTATAAGCATCCCGGCGAACCGACCTGATTACTCGACCCGCGAGGTCGACTTTTACTATGGCGTTAGGGGTCCTGCGCTCAACTCAGAGGGCCCAGGTAGGAAGCTAGGAACTGGTCCTGCAGACCCGACCGGCCCAGCGGCGACGGCTGCTGGATGGTTCCGCAGCCTGATATTTGGCGGCAAGACCAAGGAGAAGGGCAAGGGCTTTGAGGTTGTTAGAAGCGCCAGGATGCCGCCAAACATGGTTCGAAACGGAGGTTTTGGTGATGAGACGCCGCCAGAGGGCATTCCAGTCGCTATGGGCGTTATTAGAAACGGCCCTATCGATTCCGACGATGACGATGAGCCTCAAATCCCGAGGCCGAAACGCCGCGAAGGCGAGCTGCTGACTGACAATGGCGACCCGCATGACTCTGATGAGGAGCCTGATAGCCCGGTTACGGATAGACTCCCTAGGGGGCGGATATCTCAATCCGCCACAGCTTTGGGTTCTAAGAGAGCCGAGGATGGATTGGATAGCGATGGTGTCAGTGAAGAGGACTTGTCTGATGTTGACCTTGATGCGCCAGTCATTCCACGGAAGAGTTCTAAGAGACACTCGGCCCAGCTGGACCACAACATCCAGATCACGCCTCTTGTCACGATAGAGTCTGAGTCGATGCGTCCCGGTAGCCGCGAATCGATGCGGACGTTCCAGACCGAGTCGAGTGCACAGCACGGCGGTGTATCGTTGCTGCCCCGACTCCCGTTTGAGCGGAGAGGCTCAGACCGACGGTCAGACCAACGACCGTCTTCAAAGTCGTCACTCGACTTTCCAGACCTAAGACACATAGACTCGGCAGCACACGATGACGATGCGGCCGGATTCGGGACAGTTTCTCAACATAGTATCAGTCGAATTGATCCGCATCACGCTGACGATGGCATGCTCAGCACCGCTGCGTCTGTCGTAGACGATGCACATTCACATTCTGGGAAAGAGGCTTGATCCCAAGAGACGGTGCCTGCTATAGGCAATTCTTTTGGACAAACCAGTCCCGAGTGCGAGAAAAGAAGAAGGGACAAAAAAAGAAGCAAACTTCTTTCAAAGATTGATTTAATCGACTGCAAAGTTATGAACGGCTCAATAACAGCGATTCATCCCGCTTTAGCAAGCTTTAGCGTGTCTGGCTGCTTATCATTTAAGTTTTTCCTCTTTTCTCCTCTTCTTTTTCCTTTTCCTTTTCTTTAATGGCTTCATTTCCTTACTACCCTCCTTGGTTTAATTTAATCTTTCCTATCGGTATAGAGTCATATGGACATGCCCCAGCGAGATACACGGAAGCTTAGCGGGCTGAAACGACGGGATTAATCGCCATTTCTCATTTCCTTTTTCCTCTTTTTCTATTTTTTTTCTTATTTGTCAAAAGGTCAAGGTTGATACAGAAAAATAGTTTCGGGATCTGATTAAGGGGTGGTGCTTTTACGGTAGCTGGCGTTCTTGATCCCTAACCCTCCTTTTTTTTTTTCCAATTCGGTACTGTAAGAGAGAGGGGTGGGAGGGTTTTTTTTCATTACTTGTCTATGGGGTGCAAGGGATGGATTTTGGGAGTGGGCTACAAGCGTATGTGTGTATAGGATCATGAGCGTTCTTTGAATGGCCTGAAGGAAGGGGAAGATGAGCGTGTAATTAATAGTAGGCCCTGGTGGATGCAACCTGGCCAGATATAAGTTATCGTGTTGAGGATGATGATGCTTGTTGGCAGCAATGATGTGAAGTCATTTATTTTTTTCATCTTGACTAACGTAATCTCGATCAATGGAGACATGTTTACTTTTAGAAACAACGCAGATGGCTGTAAACTTGCGGTGAAGTAAATTGTACCATGTGATTGTTCAAAGGGTCAGAAGCAGACATGCGAGTTTTGGCGTGAATTGCAGAGTCGGAAATCGTGCTGCGGACAATGACGCCTGTCTGCCTACCAAGGTAAGGCAACATAATATAAGGCCAGCACATGATTTGTCGCCGACCAACTGAGCAATCCTCATGTGTTTCAGCCAATTTTTTCTCCTCTTCTCACTCGCTCTACCAGGTTTGAAACAGCATGAAGTTATTGGACTTGGACGTCCAGCTGACCTACCCAAAATAGGTATCCAAGTAAGGCGATTTAAAGCCGCTTTTTGGACCCCAGTCCGGCAGAACCAAGTCAAGTCAAGCTTCCCCAGCCCCCTCCTACATAATAACTCTCAAATGAGAAAAAGGCTCGTGAGTCTCCAAGAGGCTCGGGAATCGGGGCTCGGCTTGGCCGCGGTTCCAGATGAAACTGATCAACGTGCACAACCTGAAGCTGGAGGAATATGTCGGCAACGAAATCCCGCCGTACGCGATCCTGTCGCACACCTGGGGCGCCGAAGAGGTGACGTTTCAAGAGTGGGTGAATACGCCCAGGCCGACGCACAAGGCTGGGTTTCGCAAAATATTGAATGCGACGCGCCAGGCTGAGCTGGATGGCCTTGATTATCTTTGGGTTGATACGAACTGTATCGATAAGACCAGCAGCGCGGAGCTTTCTGAGAACATTAATTCCATGTTTACGTATTATAGCCGGGCGGCGGTTTGTTATGTGCATCTTGAGGACGTGTACTGGACGAAGCCGGTTGATGCGGAACCATCGCAGTTACACGATCAGCTGCAGGACAGTCGGTGGTTCACTAGGGGATGGACGCTTCAGGAGCTTCTCGCTCCCAGGCACATGGTGTTTTTCGCCGAGCCGTGGGAGCGGTTCGGGACGAAGTCGGGGTTGCTGGGTTTACTCGCCGACATCACAGGCATTGAAGAGAAGTTTCTGAGAGAGCCGAAGCAGATCCTTCACGCTGCCAGTGTTGCGAAGCGTATGTCGTGGGCGTCGAGGAGGCAGACGACGAGGCCTGAGGACATGGCGTACTGTCTCTTGGGACTCTTTGGCATCAACCTGCCTCTGCTCTATGGCGAAGGCTGGAAGGCGTTTTTGCGGCTTCAGGAGGAGATTATCAAGGCGTACAACGACCAGTCTATATTTTGCTGGTGCTACATTGATGCTCCTGTGGGATGGCATAGCTTCCTTGCTCCGAGTCCGCGATCCTTTGCAGACTCGGCGGACTTTGCTAGCTTTCGAGGGGATCACAACACAACCATCGGACCATATACGATTACCAACGCGGGCCTCTCCATGACTTTACCTTCGGTTTATACTTGTGATGGCAGAATCGTCATACTCGATGTAGTGCACAACTACATCGATCCTTGGGGCAGCCAACGCGTCGGAATCCCCGTAACATGGACCCAAGAACTCGGCTGCTACCGCCGCCTCGAACGTCCTCGCCGCCCAGTCCTAATCGCCACCGCCATGATCGAGCATAATCCCAGGGAGAATCTCTATTTTTACTGCAAATCGCTCGTTCAAGCAGACGCCGCGACGGGTTTCTACGACACCTGGCTCGAGGAGGGCTACTCTCTCCTCCTGACATTCGACATGCCCGTGAGAATAGAATGGACGAATGACAGGCGATCGGACCCAGGGTACGAAGATTCGACGGAGAACTTTGACTTTCAAGCACACTTGAGTTGTGTTCGGATAGAATACGACATGCGCGTGAAAAGCACCCAGCACAGAATCATCGTCTTCTCCCACCTAGAAGACTCCAAAAAATACGCCGCCTTATTCATCACCGTAATCAGAATGTCCAAGAAAGAAGGCGGCGGCGTAATCTGGTACGCCGAAGTCATCCCCCTCCACATCCCTCACACCAACCCCCACGGAAGATCAACAGCAATCGACTTTGAATCCCTCGTCATCGACACCCTCGAAGGCCTCACGGGCCAAAACCTCGGCGGCAAGCCCATGAGCTCCCGCTCCGTCCAAAGGGGCCTCAACAACCTCACAAACACGGGCCACATCTCCGAGACGAGCGCAGAGCTCAGCCGGCACTTCCCCAAGCCCATCCTCGGGGCGGGCATATCCATCATGCACCGAAAAGGAGGAGGAGGAGGCACGAATAGTAACAACAAGAGCGCTGGCACGCTGGGCCCGTACTGGGCGGACACGCAGCGGGCGTTGCATATTATATTGAATGACGAGGTGAATTACATGGAGATATACTGGCAGATTCGGGCGAGTCCGGCTCCTGCGGACTCGACGCCGTGGATGCCGTCGTATGCGGGCATTGAGGAGAATCGGAAAATGATACACGGAGTTGTGCTGAGAAAGAAGCAGCGGCAGTTGTCTGCAAAACGAGGTGTTATGGAGTTTTGGGACTAAACTAAAACGTCCGGCAGCATTGAGACGAAAAAGACGATATAGATAGATGTATATATGGTCCTAGCCTCGACACGAGGATCTTGTTGGACAAGTAGATCTAATCGCCATTAGACAGGAGGGATGTAATGTAGACATGAAAGAAATATAACTGAAAGGGCGCTGTGAACCACTGAATAAAGTAGCCATATACAAATGCAGAGGCCATAGCACCTTGGTAATCATCCAGCCAGCTTCATCTTTCCAGCAATTTCCCACTCTGTCTCTATATAGGCAATACCAAACTGTAGAAAAGCTCGCTCTATTTAACGTTCAAAAAACCAACTCCTGACCGCGCCTTCTGCACGGCCCGCTTCAACGCCTGTTCCTCCACATCAGTCCACTTGACGCTCAGTTCATCCCACTTCTTGCCAGGCGTGTTGTACTCCTTGCGCCACTGAGCATGCATATGCTGCAGCTGGGCCATCCTGCGCGGGTCACCAGAGCCACTGTAGATGATAAAGGCGGTGCAAGGCGGAAGAGCCTCGTGGATGCGAACGAGGCGCTCCGTGAGCCGGACGAGGGCCTGCTCTAGAGGAGAGGAACCCTCTGATGCGGCATCGAACCCGACGGCCTCGGACACGGCGTCCACGTCCCTTTCGGGGGCATTCTTATTCCACCATCCCTGCAGGGCTTCCAGCTCGCGCATTCGACCCCAGACAAAGTCCACTCCGCCGCCCCGGATGACTGCGCCATCTTCATCACCGAGGACGGCTCGGATGATGTTTGTCGTCACGTCCTCGTCGGTCCTGCACCCGAGCTTGTGCGTGGCTCCCGCTCCGAGACCCTTGGAAGGGTCACCCCAATCAACGGCAGCACTGGTCTTGCCAACCTCGACGCCGCCGAGAGCAGCATCTCCTCCCTGAGCTTTATAAGCTGTTCCGGCGCGTGCGAGTCTGCGGAACAGATTCTCCCCCTGCGCATCTGACGAACCCCACAACTTTCCCCTCTCGCACTTCTGCTTTACCAGATCGAGGCAAGTTTTGGCGTCTTCGATGCTGTTATGGCCCAGAACGTCGCCTTTTTGAATTTCTCGGGACAGATACTTTTGAGCGAGCCATTTGAGCGACGACTTTAGCGGAGAGCCGCGAGGATGAGGGTATATGATAGAAGTGTCAACGATGAAAGGATGAGCAATTCGCAAAGCTTTGGTGTCAGATTCGAGAGAGTGGCCCACTAGAATAGTACGCGGAGTGAGAATCTCAAGGAGTTTCTCCTGTATGTCACGTAGCGTAGTTGTCACGGGTGCCAACATCTCCTCCGTGATGCCGGAAAACCGCGTAACGTAGTCGATGATGGGCTTGTCGGGCTTCACAAGCTCATCTAGCACAACATTTCCGTCCCAGTCGATGAGACTGATGCGAGTCAGCGAAAACTCGCTCTCGCCCGTCATGCACATTTCGCAATCAACCGCCAAGATCTCTCTGCCAGCCGTGATGCTACCCTGTTCAATTTCGGCCTCGGGAACATCGCCATCCTCAAGCTTGTCTACTCTTGTGATGACATATCCTTCTGGGGCGACAAAGTTGTCTCGTCGTGGTCCTTCTGGAAGAAGAGCCGGATGAATGACGTAGCCATTGTCCGTTAGTTCATCAGCAGAAGCTAGGAACTCTGTGATGCGCGTCCTCTCGTTCTTCCATCCATGGGGCTCTCTCGCGGGCTTTACGCCTCCTTTTTGTGAAGTCTTCTCCTTTGGCGCGGGGGCAGTAAGGAAGGCGGCCAAAGGCGAGTGCATTTTCCCGTGTTTGTCGTCACCAGGTGTTTTGACGGGCCAGAGATGAGGGAACATGTCAGCAAATGGCTTCAGTGGCTCTGGCAGTGTGTCTTTGTCGAGTTTGCGGGGATAATATGTGTCCGGGGAGCCATAAGGGTGGGCATCTTTATCCGCATTTCCCTGGCTGCCTCCATCCACATTTGCATCTCTGAGGTCATTGAAACTTGCGTAGTCAACGTCGGCCTTGAAAAGCGCCTCTTCAAGACCAGGTACCATGATGGCCACAATCTTTCTGAACTGCGGCCGATGAGTGACTGAGATCCACTGGGGACCGGTACCATCGGCAAAGATGTAGGTGATGAGGTCGCGCAGGTTGTTAAGGCTGAGCATGGACTGGAGCCGAGCGTTGGGTGAAAAATTCAGGCCAGGGTATCCTCCCTTGCCCGGGCGAGGCACCTTCTTTGCCTTCTTCTTGGGTCTGGTGACGGTTTGCCACTCTCCTTGGCTATCTGGATTCTCGTCTTCATCATGAGGGCTAGGCCTTTTGAGGCTGCTTTCACTCTGATCCATAGAGGCTGTTTCAGCAACGATATCGTCAGTGACGGCGTCAGTCATATTGAAGGTATATTTTTGGTTCTTGAAGGTCCTGATGGCAAAATTCGTAAATAATCTGAAAAGGTGATGTATCCACAAAGTCTGAATAACCCTTTAGGTTCCTAAGAAAAGAAGCGCTTGGTATGCTGAAAATAAACAAATACTGCTAAAATCGGGCAGAGCCTATCTCAGATGTGTTGCTGGAGCAAAGGAAAGAAGAGAGCGCCCACAAAGGAGATGAAAGGTATTGCTATATTCTCTCCGCAAGCGCCATCCGTATAATCGATGATCTCAGGCGAAATGAGGTCCAAAGGCGCTCAGTATAGAAAAAATAATATTCCAATAGCGAGGATGTTTTGTTTAGGCAAACTGCCATAGCCAGCTTCTGGCAGGAGGATTTCTCAAGGCTGCCGAGCTTATCTTATCGCAGCCCCGTAGGCGGCTTTGAGGCCAATCACAGGCCACTCGCAGCGCCCAGGGATTCGCTGTAGCCTCGCGGCTTCTTCACGCGACGCTGGAACCTTTTGTTTAGTTTGGCTGCATTATTCATTATTCGACCCTCTGATGGACAACAATGAAGTGAGACGCGCAATCCAACTTTTCTCATATTGACGCATCTTGTTCCCCAAACCCCATGTCTCTCGAGTTGCAAATCCGATAGAGCTCAATTTCTTAGCCAATGCGTCCAACCTCGTAAAATAACATCATCTCCTCCTTGGATCGATTCTCATTCTCATTCACGTTTCTGTCTGTCATTGGGAATCTCACAACCGCAGAGCAATGGATCAAGTCGCCGTGAGATGTACCAAATGCGGCTCCGAGGTGAAAATTCTGGCCAATCTATGGACGCAGATAGGCAAGAAACACATCACACCAGTAACCCACGTGGAGGACAAGAACGAGGCGGATAAGATCACTGCAACAGGTGCGATTCGGATTGGTGATGCGAACACTTTGGTCGAGGGCTGGTATGGATATTCTTCGCCAACTATGTATCTTGTTTCGTAAATTACACTCGCTGACGATGAAATGCCCTTTGAATAGTGAGCTTCGAAATGCCGAATGTTCATCGTGCCACACAAACATAGGCCAGAAATGCTTAACAGTTCCTTCAAACCACGTATTTACTAGGTACTCATTCCTCCTGGCCAACCCTACCGAACCCATGCTAAGTAATGTAGTGGCCAAATCATCTTTCGTCTTGCGAACATATCACTTAAAGTCGCCTCAGATCTCCGTCGCAAAGCTGAACCCAAGATACAGCAAACCCTTAATCTCAGGGTTAAACCAATCACAACTCAGGGCAAACCCTCAACTCTGAACGGCGAGGCTACTCCTCGAACTGAACCTTCTCCAAGCAGGGATAGGTTCGACATCATGCAGATCCAAACAGATCTCGAGGCTCAGCAAGATGAAATCCAGCGTATTGGCACAGCTGGATTCCAAGTCATATCGACGTTGAATAGCACAGTCGCGCGCTTCGAAAAGCAGATGCGGGAGCTGAGCGACTCCGTTGCCAGTGTTCGCAAAGATGGGGAAGGACAACAGGCCGACATCAAGTCTCTCAAAACTCAAATGAGTGACGCCAAGCGGAAAGGTGACAGTGACGCCGTGATTGCTCGTCTGGATAAGCAGCTTCAAACGACGGACAGAGTGGTCTCTGAACTTCGACAAATGATCCAGAAATCCAAGATAGAGACCACGGGTCTTCGACTTGATCTAGCGACTGCACACAAGGAGATTGCAGAAGTGAAAAGGACAAATGAACGTCTCAAAGAAGACGCTGCCGAAGCAAAGCAGGTAGCGCAGGAAGGCATCGCTACGTCCAAGCTATATGCTTCTGAGGTGGCATCGTTGAGGCGGGAAATTACACAGCTACGGTCCGAACTTGGACAAGAAAACACACACCATGCTTCGATGGACGAAGACTCCTCCATTACATCTCATCAACTGGACATTCTCGCTAGCAACATATCCAAGATTGGAAACAGGGCTAGCCAGGTCGAATCTCTACAGATGGAGTTTGACCTCTTCAGAACTCGAATACAGCGGCTAGAAGCTCGAGTTGTCGGTGGCATGCCCAACCCCAATCGGAAAGACGTTCGTGCTTCTCGGGCAGAGTACACTCCCGCGGTTGAGCAGGATAGCCAGTCTCACTACGGATCAACTACGCGCAAGAAGCGGCCGACAGTAGGTGGTGAAGAAAATCATATTCTCAACTCAACTCCTCCAAAACGGGTAGCCCTCTCATCGGACTATCCTAGCCTTGCTACCGTAGGCTATGTTAGCACTAGCGAGCATCGACAATCATCACCCGGGACTATGGATTTGATAGAGACGCCTGTCCAACGGCGGGCTACAGCAGCATCAACCAAGAAGAGTACTGCAAAGCGCGGTAGATGGGGAGCAAAGGCCTAAGAGAAAGTTGCTTCAATGGGAATTATCTATCAGCTAATATGTATGCGAATGTGAATGATCCTATCTCAAAGAGCAGAAATATCAAAATCTCGGCTCAAGATTCCTCTTCCCAGATTAGCCAGGGTATTTACTTGCTGAACCACAGCAAACTCGAAGAAAGCCTGAGACTTTTCGCTGTTAGGATCTTGCCGCCATTCATCAATCAAAGAAGTTTCTTTCTCTCTGCCTGCCAGCTTCTCAATATCCTCTAGAAGCATCTGTGCTTTGCCAACAAGACTTAGCTCCGCACCATACTTTTCTGGAGAGTATTTGATAATCATGATGAGAAGCATCTGGCACAACGAAACCTGATCAATCTCGCGCAACGTCTCCTCGACCTTCTGCTCCAGCGTCGCCTTTTTGGAGACGGGTGTAGCCGAGTTTGCCAGAAAGGCCGTTGCCGCGGCGGTGTGAGTGGTTAGGTTTGCTACAGTGAACAAACCGGCCAGCCGAACGGGATGATACGGCGAGGCATACTGGTACGGATCACAAGCTGTCGCGATCAAACAAGCTACCGCCAGGGCAAAGGCAAAGTTTTCTTCTTCGCCGTATGACATGGATATTCTAAAGAGAATGTCGGGGAGCGGTGTGACGGCCCATAGCTCCTCTTCAACTAGAGCCTTGCTCTTGTTGTACTCGCTTTTTAATAGCTTACGCCGTTCTGACGGTGGCTCAATCGTCGCCAATGCAGTTGATAATCGGTCAGCTGTCTCGCTATGTCGATTAATTATGGATTGTTTGCTGGGGCTGGTGACTGCAGGATGCTTGCGAAACTTTGAGACATCCGGTACGAGGCTCTGGCTGTTGAGATTGACGTTGGGGGAGATGGCTGCGACTTGATAGACGTTGAGGTTATCCCGGCAACGAAGGCAGTTGCATACAAACTTGTAGTGAGCTAGTGCTTCTCTTCGTTTAAATAGAGGATCAGTGTAAACTATAGGAAAAGTATAAGGTCAACCTATGTAACATAGAAATACACAAGGAGGCATCTTTGAACACGGGGACACTTACACGTATAAGCCAGCTCAATCTCATCACCAGCTCGAATCGGATTCTCAGCGACGAGAAGGGCGTTTCGTCCAATGAACTGGACTGCCGCATTAGGAATGCAAGAATGATTCGCCATGGCTAGAGTCGGCTCCAGAAACAGTCCAACGACACCCAAATCAGTATCGAACCTCTGAAAAGAGTTGTTTTGAATCTAGACCCATCAAAGTCATTCGTCAGCATCCTAATTCTTGTTCAAACGACATCCATCTTCCCAGCTGATAACCAACCTTGCACAGCATCTCAACCGCCCTCCTCACAAGCTCCTCCGCCGTGCCCTTCCCCGAAAACGCACACGCCGCCATCGCCATCATCTCAATATTCCTCCACTCGTCCCCCTCGGCCTTCTTCTCCAACACATGCCCCTCCAGATCCTTCAGCCCGTCCCCAATCTCCCCACACAGCAAAGCCTGGATTAGCGCCCTCGTCGGCGTCGGCAACTGCCTCCTTCGGCCCTCGTCCTTGATGCCCTGCCGGAGCGCCTTGCATTCACGTGAATGAACCGCCTTCCAGGCCGCGGCTTGGCACGTCGCACCGCAGTATGACGCCGCGTGACAGCGGGAGCAGGCCCGAGGATTGCCGGGGCGGAGACAGTATGAGCAGACGCTGCTGAGGTACGAGACGGTGGGGAGGAGGAGGAGAGGCGTGAAGGGGGAGATGATGGTGCCGGGGGAGAAGGATTTTGTGGCGTAGAGGCCGCGGCCTTTGGAGGGGTGAGGCCGGATTTCGAGGGGGGATTGAGAAGACATGCTTTGCTTCTTATGAGTTGTGAGGCATTTGAAATGGTAGAGTTGTGACTCAGAATTTGTAGGTCCCTAACGCTGTTCTTTGAAATGATATTGGTTTGGGGGTGGAAAAGTTGCAAGGTTGAGGTGAGCTTTGGAGGGGCAAAGTTTGAAAAGGTGGGTTGGCGATGGCTCTATGTTGCAGGAGATTGATAATCAGCCAAACACGATATTAGCAGACACAAAAATTTGGAAAAGAAGACGTTTACAATTTTTTACTTTGAATAATAGTAGTTAAAAATATGTTCAAATAAAATTCAATGGGTATCTCTATGTAACTACCAGACACCTGTAGCAGTCCACTATATATACATGTATACTATAACCAACACGATGTAACCATCTCTCTATAGCTCGCCATGGTTCGGCAGCTTGCCGTTCGTCTTTCGCGCGCTCGCAAGTCTCTTTCGCAGCTCCTTGCTCCACGGCGTACCATGCAATCTCGCCATCACCTCCGCATGATAGTCCCAGCAGCCGTCCTCTAGCGCCGTCTCCGGAACCACGCACACCTCTTTGCTTAATGCCTGACCCCTAGGCCACTGGCCAAGCTGGGCGCCCATATCCTCGTCCAAGAAGGTATCAAGAACCAACTGCCCAATCTTTCGCTGCGCTCCAGCCCACTCGGCTTTCTCCTGGAAGAGAATTGGCAACAGCTGCTTCATGCCGTTGTTTTCCAAAAAGTGCTTCCTAATCTGCTCGTCCTTGAGGAGTCCGTTAATGGCGGAGACGGCGGCCTTGACCTTTGCTGGAGAATCAGCAGGCGAGATTGTGTGATGGTAGAAAAGTTCGTGGATTGTGGCGCCGTCGTGAGGGCATTTTGAGTCCATGAGCTCCGTCCAGATCTTGGCAATCTCGTTGAGTGCCGAAGGATTGTTGGAAAGGGCACCGGCGAGAATAGCCGCCGCTTGTTGGCCTCGTGGAGTGGCTCCCTGAGAGACTTCGCCTTCAGGGGTTCCCATCAAGCAGAAGAGTGCCTTTACCACGTCTGTTTCCTCGGTGATTTTGAGTCCGTAGTAAATGTCATGAGAGAGCTCTTCGAGGCCTTCCAGACCGTGATCAAACTCCTCATCGCTCGGGATGACACCAGACTTGAGCATTTCGAACGTCTCCATAAAGGCAATAGCTTCTACCTGAGCCTCTCCCCCTGGCGCAGGCTCCTTGATCTTGCCAACGTTGTTGTATTTTGGTGCGCCCTTGGGTACTTGAATTGTCTCTTGCTGCTCCTGGTCGACGAGAACCACGGCTTGGTCGACAGGTAGTCCTTCTAGAGCGGGGTTGATCTCATCAGGTACGTTGATCTTGGCTTCTTTCTTGCCAGTCCAGATATTCAAGCGAACGTGAAGTCCATTCGGTAGTTGTTGGTCATCGTGAACAATCTGGAACTCATCTGTCGGTTCAAATACCAGGGGATAACACTCTTCTGGATTTGATGTGTGACAGATTAAATCTGACTTGTCTCCCGCCTTGGGAGAATACTGAGATGCTGATGCTGTGGCGGGAACTGCTAAGCAAAACAATAAACCCAGAATGAGGGCAATGATGATGGGCAACGGCCTGCCTTTAGAGCGAATAGAAGGCATTGTTGTTTTAGAGAGAAATGAATGAATGAATAAAAATGCTTAGCCCACTCAAATGGTGTAAATGCGTATCCAGATATGCTGTCCAAGGGTTAGGACTTTGTATAATCCTCCCAAGCTGATGAGTGGGAACGGAACTTCGTTCGAGCAACGACGCTGCCAGCCCAACGTTTCAATGAATATGCGAAAAGAACTTGGTTAAAGAAAATAAATAACAATCTCATTATAAAAAGAGTGAATGAAAAGTCTTTAAATGAGTCAACTCGTTGAAAAGGACACCTAAGAACATGGGCTAGGTGGACCTAAAAAAAGTTGTAAGACGAACCGCAAAAGTTGTCACTGCGAGAGGCGAAATCTGGCTTCTGAATCTTGGCGATGCCTGATTGGCCGAGATGGGTGACTCAGCAGCCAACATGGAAACAAGAAGAAGCAGCCTTTTGCCACTGAATTACAGCAGCAAAATTGGGCGTTTGCCATTGTAGTGGTTTATTTTGCCTTGCTATGGCGCGGATTTTTTTCATTATACGTGATGAGGAATATCTGAAAAGAAGACACTGATATTCATCGTTTGCTTAGTGGACTTTGTTTGATGTGCGGTGTCATATACGCTTTCGGAAAGTATACAGTTCAGCTCAATGGGGCTGGGCATGAGCCTCCAGATGCCCACCCATCGACAAGAGATATCCGTGATGTATTCTTAAGCATATAATTGGCATACTCTAACTGCATGAATACGTTATTTAAGCTTTTATTTTATCTTGCATTCCCATGTTCTATTTGTGTCAGCGCACGTTTTCTTGCCCCGTCTGTGCATGTTCGACCATCTTCTGGAATGGCCCCGTGTCTCAGATTCTGAGCATCTGCTCAAAGTCAAACCTGAATTCAGAACACAAGCCGTAGCATAGCTGTTTGCGATGCCAATCGGATGCGTCACTAGCTCATTGATAAAATTCACAAAAGAGGCTGGCCAGCACCACGACAAGTGAGATATAAACCGAAGCTTTCCTCATAGCGGGCTTGCAAACATTCTATTCCTTGCAATGCATCTCCCTGCATTCTTAAACCTCTTCTCTTCGGATTGAGATTGCAAGTAATACTACCTAAGGGAACATCTGCCAGTCTGAAAAAAAAATGCTGTCCCTAATTCTCGTCTTCTTCTACCTCTTGTTCTGCTCAATATTTGGCGTCTACGCCATGCCAACTGGGTCCCGTCATTTCAAGAGACACGAGCATCTCCACATGCGTGTCCACAGCCTTCGCCTCTCTTGGCCTATCAATGTCAAGATAGACGAGCCAGTACAGAGTCCAGTGAGCTGGTCGGAGAGCCGGCTTGAAGAAGGCCTACTTTACACGGACGCCGACTCAGAAGAGGAGCCCTTGCTGGACAGTTTCCACAACGAACTGTCGGCATCTTAGGCCCAGCATTGTGTATTCATTAGTGGAAGGACTAAAATGCTTTATAATTTTACACACACAAGACAGATATATATTGTCAATGATTACCTATTAAGAACATGAAGGGATCAACCCGTCTCATTTACGGTACAATTTACAACGGGAGCTGCCTGTGGCAAAATTGATTGTCGACAAACCATTGAACTTCACACTGTGTCCGTTACCTAATGCGGCACCACAGCATTCCCGCATAGTGCCAGTTCCGCACACCTATTAGAAATCCTCCTCGTACATTTCGCAGGTCGTGAAGACAGTTACCGACACAAAACATCGCACGGCCCAGCCCTTTCTCGCAAAACCCGTGGCACAGCATGCGCTCCAATGAATTGAATGGGTCCCCGTTATTGATCAATTAGGTCACGCGTTCTCCTTTCTTTGAAGCTTCTTGCGGACCTTTGTTAAGAAAAAAACAAGGCTTTGTGTCACGAAGCTGGAACCAGCTCTTACGAATTAGACAGCAACGTCTCTAGGCCATTGCGGCGTCAATCCAACGTCAATATCTCCCTCCCTTTTTCGCCGTCGCAGTTCCATACGAAGAAGCTCTTTCGCGCTACTCTTCCTTGACGAACGGAGCTTGCCTTGCGACCAGACGGATCCTCCTCCGAATGCTACTCTGGAGCTTGCCATTTCTCTACCTCTTCGTCTAGCGCTCTCCTCGCCATCGTACCACGGAAGCGCGCGCGCGTATCAACACTTACACAAAACCTCGTCAAGATGCCTTCGCCGCGACGAATGCGCCTCCTGATGGTGGCGGTCGTCATCACCGTCGTCGTCATGCTATTCTACAGCTCGGGCATGGAGCCAGAAGCCGACGCCGCCCTCAAGGGCTTCTACGAGAAAACAAAAGAGGCCATGGAGCGAGGGACGGCGCGTGGGCAGGCAGTCATCAATTCCCAGACGGGCCAGAAGGCGGGGCACATACCCGCCGACAAAGACGGCGACGGCGACATTGACGACGACGACAAGGTAGCTTCGCAGGAGCTGCAGGAGCGGCTGCAGGCTGTTGCGCAGGAGGCAAAGGACAAGGCCAACGAGAAGAGCCCGAAGCCGGATATCCCCAGCAGGATCGTGGGCGTGGGCAGCTCGGCCGAAGGACAAGCGAAGAAGGGCCAGGTCAAAGTCGGCGGTGGCGGTGATGTAGGGGACAGAGTCAAGACGGATGTGACGAAAGAAGAGACAAAGGAAGAGCACGAGGCCGAAGTCGAGATTAACAGCATCTTGAAGAAGTCACCCGGTAAGCTTGTCGCGATATGTTTTTCCCTCTGGCGAATATCGTTTGGCTAACATATACCCACAGTCATCATCTTCTCCAAGAGCTACTGCCCCTATTCGAAGCGCGCCAAGGGAATTCTCCTGGAAAAGTACAGCATCACTCCGGAGCCCTTTGTCGTGGAGCTGGATGAGCACCCACTCGGTCCCCATCTCCAAGACTATCTCCAGAAGAAGACGGGACGCAGAACCGTGCCCAACATCCTGATCAACGGAGTGAGCATTGGCGGCTCCGACGACATTGTTGCGCTAGACAACGAGGACAAGCTGGTTGGCAAGGTTCGCGATCTGGGCCAGGCTCGCATAGAGATTAGCCCGCGCTTCACCAAGGGCGAGCATCAGTAAGAATGATGTGTAATCAGAGAGGGCAGATCCTCTTCTGTCTTTTTCTTCTTCTTCTTTTTCTACCTGCACCTGTACTCGTGCTTGGCCTTTTCTCTCTTGGGCCAAGGTTTTTTGAGATCTGTGGCTCGCGGCTAATGTATTGATTCTCTTGGGGGTGTGTGGGCATCAGGGGCCGATGGTTTTTGAATGGCTGGTGTGCAGATGCCAAGTGCAAGTACGCATGAATGGAGTTTTGGCGTTTTATCTGGCCCTCTTACAAGTACCTTACCTCGTACTGTAGGAATAGTAGGCACAGGTAATATTTAGTTATCTCGGTATACTTAGTATGGGATGGCAGGGAATGGGAATTGAAGGCTTTGAAATAAATGCTTGTCTAGAAAAAAGAGAGAATGAGATATGAAGGAGGGTGGGAACGAAAGATGTGAGGCCTAGTGAAGCACAGCATGCAGCTAATTCAATTCGAAAACCTGTAATATCCGGCAGCTTGATCCAAGCATGCTTATTGATGATCCTAAGAGCGCATAAATCCGTGGGCGGAATCAAAACGTTGGGAAAATAAAGACGATGAAAAGCGAAGTGTGCCTGGTTCGTATCTCCCAAGTACAATCTCGAGATACAGTAGCGTACTATCTTGCATCTGCTAGTGAAGCATCATGGCGGTTAATATGGGAATGGGAAGCGAAAAGATTCACGGCAACATGCAAGCAAGCATCAGCGTACCTCCTCGCCCTGATCAATCATGTCATTGAACTTAACCCCTTTGTAAATCGCGCATCCATATCATCATTCTTTCATCTTGCTGTCTTATTTCTTCGTCCACTTCCCTCTTCTTTGCGCGACTCCCCCCCTCATCGCACCCTCGGGCAACACACGCTGACCATTGATTTCTCTTACATACTTGAACCTTTACCGCAATCAATTTACCCAGAACAGACCCTCGCCCAAAAAAAAAGCCACGATGCGCAAAGCCAGCGCTGTTCGCTCGTTCTAGCCCCGCCTGGCGCTATCTGTTATCAGCAGCGGTAATGGCATTATCCCCCACTAAATGCAGGGATTGGTGCTGCAGCACTTCATGTTGGAGGCGCGTGAATGGCTGGGAGGCTTTTGGGGTTATCAACGGGCTGGAAGGGGGGGGGGGGGGGGGGGGATGTTTAGGCCCAGGTTCAGGTTCAGGTTTGCTCAAGGGCTGTTGTACAGTTGCTGTGAAGTACCTATCCATGGAAATGTCTTCATGATGACACTCAATACAGGCCATCCAGAATACGAATCACCAAAACAAGACGAACCAGCAGAAACACGTGAGAAGGAACCAACTGGAGCCCATCAGTCAAAACAGATACCAGACCGGCAAAGGTGGGTTAGCGTGCAGAATCAGCGCTTGTCCACGCTCTGCTCTTGCTCGCTACGAATATCCGTACTAGTGTTGATCCGCTAATACTGTACAAGCATATGCGTGTGTGAGCCCGCGTGCGAGAGGTGCGAGTAACTAAGAAAAACAGCACCCGACAGTCAATGCTCACATAGAAACTGGGGGAGAAAATGGAGAAAGCACAAAAAAACAAAAGCGTGGGGATGGATCCCGGTAAGCCGCTGCCATGCCATGCCATGCCCAAACCAGGACCCAGCACAGAACAGACTGGGATTCGAGACCGCAAGTGACCACACCATCAACCCGCAAAGCTGAGCCTACAAAATGTATGTACGTACAAAAACACACTCCGGGTACAGTATTAGGTTATCTGGTGCTATTATCTCGCCCTTTTTCTAGCCCGGCCGCTGGGCTGCCTTGCCTTGCCTGCTCTTGGATTCGTTAGCCAGCCCAGTCGAGCGTTCAAGGCAAGGTTGGGGGATTTTGGCAGCAGAATAAGAAGAGCCTGGGCGCGCCACCCCCTCACGCTTTTCGCTCTTTTCTCTCTCTTACAATTCCTTCAGTCCAGTCCAATCCCAATCCAAAGCCAAATATTTCCCACTACCGCAGCCTGTCCTAGTTTCTTCGTCCTTTTCCCCATTCCCCATTACCCATCCATTGGCCTTTCTGTCCTGCCCGTCTAAAGTGTTCGTTCGTTCGTTCGTCCATACATAGAGACAAATAAAAAGAAAAAAGGACCCTCTCAATTTTAGTGCTGCTACCAGTCAAGTGGTCACTCAGCTCCTCGACAACTTTCCTCGACACTATACCGGACTCTGTTACCCTCGGTCAAGAGACGGTGGACACACCGACCCGGCCGCTCTCAACCGAGTCGCATCATCAAGCTGCAACCTTGCGTCAATTGGGCTACCAGGACTGCAACGGCTCTAAGCAAAAAGACCATACCAGGCACACCTCTCTTTCGAGGGCCCCCCATACATACGTTACATTTTCGCAAAACAAAAGACAAGAAAAAAAAAAGAGAGAATGTCTGACGCACCCTCCACAACCACCACCTCCTCCGCCCTCCGCCGTCCCTCCACCAGCTCCGAAACATCCTCCCTCTCGTCCGCCTCAACCGCCTACACCACTTACAAGGACAAGGAGGGCCAGCCTCTACTGCTCGACGGCAACGGCAGCGTCCACGAGCGCAAGATCAAGCGCGGCCTGCGCCAAAAGGCCCGCGACATGGTCCACGACATGGGCAGCCCGCCTACTGCGAGGCAGGACGCAAAGGACGGCAAGCCCACGCTTAATCACGCTCCGCTGGGGGGGATGGTGGGTGAGCCCATGATGAGGCCGGGCAAGATTTAAGAACTCCTCGGGAACTGTACGTCTGGCTGCCTGGGGATTTTGCGTAATGCAGCTGCAGTTGCGTGTTGCGTGGGTGCGTGCCCCCCAAAAAAGAAAAAATATGATGGAAATGATATGCGAAAACGGTCTCGGCGTTGATTTTATTCTTCTTTTTATGTTCGATGGTTCTCTCTGGTCTTTTATATCTGGCTTCGTTTTTTCTTTTCCTTTCCATTTACCTATATATCAAATGTATTCAACATTAACCTTGAATCCTTTCACTGTTTGTTAGTCGGCGACTAAATCACCAAAAGAAGAGAAAGAGAGAAAGCGACTCTTTATGACGTTAATCAAAAAATTTCACATGCAGTATAACAAGTCACTTCCGTACATATGACATGATGTGCCACCGCAAAGAAAAACTTAAGCGAGACGAAATGTTGGCGTGCATCTTTTGTTTTGTCCTTATTTCTTACACATGGAGCCCACCAACCATGTGTCTCTCCTCCAATCCTAATGCTTGCAAGCATTGTAGTGTAGTGTGAAATAGAAAAGAAAATCCGAATGTTTCCCCGAGATTTCATAGCCGTTGAGTGTGTCCCCCTGAAAAGCACGCATGCGTTGTCCAGCGCCGCGACTCTATTCCAAGAAATAAGATATCCAAGAAATAACATAGAAAAAAAAAATAACGAGTCTCCAAGGTCTTTGTATCTGGTGCCAATTTAACCTGCCTTCACATGAACCCCCTGATAAAAAAAAAAGAATAAAAATATTAACCCGTTAAATCCAAAAGAGAAAGCCTGTTCCTGGATTTCTACCCAACGCCCCCGTACCGTGTCCCCGATGCTTGCCTTTGCTCGACTTTGCGTGTCCAATGCTGTACGCTCCAGTGCCTCTGATAGTTTGATATTCCGCGATAGATGGGAGATTTTGTTGTTACAATGCTTTGTTTAATTGAGAATTGCCGTTTCTTCTTCAAACATGTCATGGTCTGAGAAGCTGTCAAGTTTGACTTCTTCATTCGACTGGAATACTCGTGTCACCGGAGAGGAAGTGCTCAATGGCATCCACGCCAACTTGCCTACAACATCAGTTAGAACCAACTCATAACTCAGTATCAATAGGGGGTAGGAAATGCGCAGCAACTCACGTAGTCAGCATCAGCCTCGTAAACTCATCCATGTCGTCCGGTCTCGCATACATCCAGAATTCCTTGAAACTAAGATCGGTAATGCAATACTGCGGCTTCTCACGCCAGGCCTTGAAAAATTCAACCGAGGATGTAGCCTCCCAGAGGTGCCGCGAGCTCGTGAAGCTATGGCCGTCTTCCCAGCAGTCGTTGGGGGCTGGTACAACGCAACCGTTAATTGCCAGGCTCATCTGTGAGACTTGGTGTGAATACGTACCTTCTTCAGATTTTAAGACGAAAACGAGACACATTACTGCAAAGGCAATCATAATGGTCCTCCTAGTGCTTTCAAGCATGATCCAGCTCTGTAAAATGGAACGAAACAAGTTAGCTTGTGAAATGAAGTCAAGAAGATAAACAGGGAATGGTGTAGATGCAACTCACCTCCCAGCTCTTTGGCGGCCTATCTCTCGAGATAAGAGTCGATGCTGGCAAGCCCTCCTCCAGCTCATTTTTGACCACAACTAGATCCTTTACCCACGCCAGCATGACGCTCATCTCTCTCTCGGCTGCCGCCCTCATGCTCACATCCCCGTCAAAGATGCGCATCGAGTTGAGTAACAAAAGAGCTTGCACTCTGGCCAGGCGGTCGGCGTGTGTAGTCGCTCTCTCGCCATCACGATGGACCTCGCGCACTGCATCCAGCAGCACCTTGAGCGCCCATCCTTTGGTATGCGCAGTGCGTGCCGAGTACGCCGAAGCAGCAGCAAATGTCGTAATGATGGTTTTGGGCAGCTGTGACATCCACAAGCGGGGGTGCATGAAGGGAGCCTCGCGACGCTGCGTGAAGCTCGTGTACATCTCTGATATACTCTGGACAATGAAGCCGATCTTGCTGCGGGGGTCGTGCACCTGGAGAACGTCGGCCATGATGCACTGGTCCTCGTGCTGCAGAATAGAAAGATCTCTAACGGGTTGATGCGGCTGCTGCTGTTGCTGTTGCTGCGACTGGCCCGGCTGCTGCTGTGTCTGCAACGGCGGGATGACGGGAACCGGCGGGAGGTCCATCTTGCTGGTGCCGTCTCCAAAGCCAGTCAGATCCCACAGGCTGCCGGGGCCCGTGCCGGCGCTCGCATTCATCAGGTCGACAATGGAGAAGCCCAGATCGGC